ATATATAAAATTAATAATAATCTTGATGCGACTTCGTGGCTTAAAACTCATGTTAGTGGGAATGATAGAATTTTCTATATTGTTACGTGTTGGATGCTATGGAGAGTTAAAAATATGAAAATATTTCAACAAGTTATTTTTTCTAAGTGATTGATCCTAAATAATATCTCTAGCTTATTATCCATTCTTCAAGAGAATACCAACATAGAGCATGTCAAAGGTAACATTGTTGTTTGGTGGCAATGTTCTACTACAATGGTGGTGAAGCTAATTAAATATAGATAGAAGTTCTTTAGGTAACCTTGAAGCTAATGGTTATGGTGGTATTCTTAGGGAGCATCATGGAAATTCGATAAAAAGATTATTGAGAAGTCGTGATATTTGTACTCTAGTCAAAATGCTGAATTTATTATCATTATCATGGCTTGAATATGGTTTGGTGTTTGGGATTTACATTTTTAATTTGTAAATTTGATTATAAGATTGTTCTAAATTTGACTGAGAAGGATGTCACCTTTGCACATCTTTATGCTGCTGTCATATAGAAAGATTAGGCCCCTCCAACAACAAAATTGGTCATTATCCTATCAATATTGGTATAGAGAGGATAACAAATATGCAGAAAAGTTAGCCAAGATTGACATTTCTAACAATTCATTACACATTGTTTGAGATGTTTGTCCAATTGAACTCATGTTCTTTCTCCTAGCTAGTGTTATGGTGTTTGGAACTCCTAATGGATTTATCTAGTTTTGTGTTTGATGGTTTTTTATATTATGATGCATAAAAAAGTGGATAACATAAGGTAGAATAATTAATGTGAGGAGAATTCCTTCACGTCAAATGGCAAAATAATATCCAAAACATCCGAAAATTAATAATACAAGTTGCTTAACACTTGTGTTTCTTAACTATAAAATAAGGTTTAATCTTTAGTTTAAATATGAAATTATAACTAATTAAAGATACCACTTTACCTCTAGAAATGACTTACAATAGAGTAACTCTTGATTTTAAAATTAAGAAGAGTATGATAAATATTAACCTTAAAAGCTTCACATGAAAGTGCACAAGTATCTCTCAAGCAAATACACGGTCAAGAAATTTAGCTTTGTGTCGTTTGGTATATAAATGAGTTTTTAAGTGTTCTTTGTGTATCGAAAATATTTTATAAAGAATGTAAAAAAAAAAAAAACCATTTCAAAGATTTTTACGTCTTGAAAAATGTTATTTTTTATTGACAATTGTGGGATATTCTTGACGTAAAAAAGAAAATAAAAAAAATCCTTGTTAGCTATCCATATACAATATCTTGACGTTTTCTTTGCTTGCTTTCGGCGTTAGCTTCGTACCATTAATATTTTATCGCACAAACAAATAACATCGTTATCCATTGGCCATACTCAACACAGAGGAGCCAAAATTCCTTGGCTTCCCATGCTCATGAGAAATTAACTTCAAAAAAATATTCAAAGATCCAAATTCCAAATGTACGCTTTCATGTATTCATTTGGCAAAAGCCCACGTTTTTTACGAAAACCATTAAACACAAGTACAATTATAATAACCATACACTCCATTGCACATCCTCTTTCTTCCTTTCTTCCCTTCTTTCTTAATGATTGCTCCAAGAGACTCATAGGTCTGAACAAAAACACACAGTGCCACACAAACTCTGTTTGATCCCTCCCTTCGCCACAATCGAAGCACAAAGTGCTTTGGCGTTATAACTTCAAGGAACTAACGAGTTACATGCATGCAAGCCTATGATCCATAAATAAATAATCAAAAAAATGAGCATGCAAAAGGAGAGTCCTCTAGTGAGACTCCGAATTTTTTACCAAAGCCATGCATGGCTCCCTCTATTGCACCTTCTCATTCATATCTCACCGCCAGTAACCGGTCAACCGGTAACACCAGTGGAACCCGACAGCAACAAATCCGTGGTCACAATCATGGCAATCGTCGCCGCCATGTTCCTCATCTCAGCCGTCCTCTCTCTCTACTCTCGCAAATGCTCCGACCGGCAATCGCAGACACGTGGCAACAGGCTCGACCTCGCCGCTCCTACCGGCGCAGGCGGTAACCCGTCGAATGCCGAATCCAACGGCCTCGACCAAGCCACCATAGAAACCTTCCCCACGTTCCTCTACTCCGACGTGAAGGGTCTCAAAATCGGAAACGACACGCTGGCATGCGCCGTGTGCTTGAACGAGTTCCAAGACGAGGAAACCCTCCGCATGATCCCCAAGTGCTGCCACGTGTACCACTCCGATTGCATCGACGTTTGGTTAGCCTCCCACTCCACGTGCCCGGTTTGTCGCGCCAACCTCGTTCCACAACCCGAAGACATAAACATGCCTCCGATGTTGTCCATTCAGATACCCGATGATGAGGAACGTGACCACGAACATGAACATCAAAGTGAACATGACATTAGTGAAGAACATAAGAGAGAGAGTGACGCGGAATCACCAATGGTGGACTTGCTTCGTAGGGTTCGCTCGTTGCATCAGAGCCGTCCATCATTGTCGAGATCAACGGGGTTTCTATCTTCGCTTTTGTTTCCGCGGTCGAACTCGTTGGGTCAATTGGTGCAGCCTGGGGAGAACTATGAGAGGTTTACGCTACGGTTACCCGAGGAGGTACGAAGCCAGATGATGAACTCGACGCTGAAGCGTGCGAAGAGTTGCGTGTGCTTTACGAGAATGAGCAGTGACACGCGGGGGTATAGGACGAGAAGCGTGGGAAGTGGACGTGGGAGAGGGTGTGTGCAGTATGAGAGGTTTGGTGGTGAGGTACAGTGGGGTTTCCCTTTGACGCCACCGAGTCTCGTTAGGAATAACGGTTGGAACAGATCCATGAAAAAATCACAGGTTCAGCGTTCGGGTGTGGCTTTCGATAATAATCTTGCTGGTGAACGATCCTCTGATTTCTTGCGTCTTGCTCCATAGAAGTTGATAATTCTTATTACAAAAAACTCCTACGTTGCAGAAGTTGATAATTCTTATTCATGCATGTTTTTATGAGTAGATAATGATAGCCAGTCAATAACTACTATGTTTTGTATCTGTATACTTATATCTTGATTATTAGTTGTTGTCTTTATTATTTGCGTAATATATACATATATTCATATCATGTGTAGTAATACATTAGTTTGAATAACGTTACTCTTGCCTAATCTTTTTTACAGTATTCATCGATGGAAGAGTAAGGAATTGGTAACTAAGAGAAAAAGTTAGGAGATAAAACAGGTGATGTAGTTGACAAAGTAATAAGAAAAAATGTGGATTACATTTTCTTTTAACACTCTTTTTTGAATATATTTTATTATTAATAAAAAATCACAATTTTTTTACTAAATTAAAAGAAAAATTTATTAAATGAATTGCAAAACTCATAAATTTATGATTTTTAGTAATTTTTTAGAAATAATAAATACTCAAGAAAGAAAGTGTTAAAAATAGTGTTGCTAACATTACTTAAAAAAAAAAAAAAATGAGTTTCAGAAAGTGTTATAATTTGCTACGTATTGTTAGTTTGACAACAATATAAAATGTATTCTTTTTTAGCTTATTTCCTTTCCCCTCAATGAATGTTTTTAACGGAATTCCTAACTTTAATTATCTTCCCGAGAAATGTTAGCAAAATTTTTTAAAATAATTTTTGTATTATTGATTAAAATTTATTAAAAATTACATATTTTAATAGAACTTACTACTAAATCATAAATCATAAGGATGATATGAATCAACATATTTAAAGTGGGCGGGATGGTTAGTTCACTAAAGAAAATTGGTTGAAAAACTAACTCACTTCACTTAATTAGTGATTGATTGGTGGGTTGATTTATTTCGGTGAATTAGTGGGTTAAAAATGATGAATTAATAAGTTTATCCACCTTCAATCCACATAATTTTTATAAAAAAAATCTTAATTGAAATACTTTAATATACATTATAAAAAAAATTATCATATAATAGTACACTCTAGTACAAAAAAGGTAATTTATGTCAATTATTTTAAGATTTTCACGTAAAAAAAAAAGTTTCATGTTAAAGCAAGGGATGTAAATTTCCGTCGGTTATGAAATTCGACGTAAATTTACATCGGACATTGCTAAGATCTGACGTAAAAAAGTTGTAAATAAAAAAAATATATAACGAGTGCAAGCAGAACGGGTCGTTCTGCTTGAAGAACAAGTCGTTCTTCTTGATAGAACAACCCAGAAGAAAAGGCCAACAACCCAAACAAATAGAACAACATAAAGATCGAATAGAAAAAATAGCCACAATAGCAATGCGAAACAAAAAGGTGTTAACGATTCATACCTGAGCTGCAATAGTGTGCGAACGAGTAACGAAGAGTTCACCCCACTCTGTAGAAGACAGAAAAAATGATTTAGCAACAAAGGAGAGGGAGAGTGTTTATACAGAGAAAAATCTAGAAAAGTGGTGAGATTCGAGTGAGTGCGTGCGTGTATGTGCCTCCCATGCACTCTTTTTATTCGCTTTCGCTACTTTTTTTACGTCGGATTTGGTAGGGTCCGATGTAAAATGTAAAATTTACATCGGTTGTATGTTGTGTTCGACGTAGATTTTACATTTTACGTCGGACCCTACTATGTTGTGTCACCACATCTTTTTTACGTCGATTTTTGTTAAGTCTGATAAGAAAGAGGTGACGTAAAAGCCTCATTTTCCACTAATGACATCCTATAGTGAAACAATACTTGTTACTAAAAATTACTTTTAACTACTCTATAGATACAATATATGTTAATATATTGTTAAAATGTGTAGATATAAACTATAGTGCCACATAATATATGTTGTTAAATCTCATTTAAAATCAAAACTAAAATTGTGTATAGATATATGTCAAATAAATTATATAAAAAAATATTGTATCTATAGTGATACTTTTTATATGTGTTGTTCTTACCGGAATTTGTCGTAGGGACGATCTTCCAAGTAAGATTGGTGAGCCTCCTTCACTAGTACACTGATGCTCCAAGATGGCGGTGGTACCTGCAAAAGAGACTCCGATGCTGAAGTTAGGGTTTGTATGAGTAATAGTCTCGTATATGTAATGCACGTACCTTGGAGTGAATTAGGGTTGCTTTGGGCTCTGGGCCTGAGATAAACACTACTAGAAAAATTAAAATTAGAGAGGGAACAAATCCGTCACAAATCAATTAGTGACGGAATTTGTGACGGAAATGATTCCGTCACAAAATTTGGCGTCACAAAATATTTAGTGACGGATTATTTTTTCCGTCACAATTAGTGACGGAATTAAGGCATCACAAACAGTATAAATTCCGTCACTAATTTCTAATAATAAATGTTTAGAAATTAATAAAAATCCGTCGCAATTTGTGAGGGATTAAATCCCTCGCAATTTGTGAGGGATTAAATCCGTCACAAACTGTGATGACTTTAATTAAGTAGAATCCGTCACAATTTGCGAGGGATTTAATCCCTCACAGTTTGTGAGGGATTAAATCCCTCACAAATTGTGAGGGATTAAATCCGTCACAATTTGCGACGGATTTTATCCGTCACTAACTGGGATGAATCCCTCACTAACTGTT